GCGACTTTTTCTTGCCTTTTTCTACTTTTCTGTCTGCTTTTATTTTCTCCTCCCCTGTCTATCCTGTAATCGATCTAGTATTCGGATTTGCCAGCTGAATGGGGCTATAGAGAAAGGCCTAATGGAACTGGATGTGAAATGTTTTATCTGAGAACTAAAGAACAATGCGGCGAGGCTGGCAGCGAGACAGTGGTCTAAGAGGTGACCATTAGTGGAAATTACGTCTTTATCAAGAAAATGTGAATCGCCGGGCGTGCAAAATATACTTTTCTTTTTGAACTGTGGGGAAACTTTGGATAAAAAATAGTAGTTAATGCAGGCTTTGCTACTATTGGATCATCATTGGCAATCTCAAGGCTCTGGCATCCGAGGGAAATGGCGACTGCTTCGAAAACGTTCAGCTAAACTTGTCTCTGTCCATAGCTAAACCACCCCAAGAGATAGAGACAGAGCCCACCTCCTCATGCCAGTTCCCCCCCGACCCGTCTCTCCTCTGTTACCACCAACATGCAGCGAGAGGAAGGGGTGTTTTTATTGCGTTCAAGAACCAAGAACTTTGTAAAGTCCTTTGAGACGAGTGCTGTTGTTATTTTGGGCTATAAATTGACTTGACTTGTATGTTTTTAAGATACGCACTGAGAGTATTAAGAGTCATGCTTGTCTGTGTTCCAGCCTGGTTTTCTCTGTAAATTGTGTAGCCAATTTCACCACATGTGTTTATTACCTGACTCGCTGCCTCCGAGTCCAACCTGATGGATAAACATTTGGTTTATTTCATTGAATGGTGAGAGTGGATTCGCTCAATGGCAGTAGAACAAAACAACTCTTTTCTCACCCCTGAATGTTTGGGTTTAGGGAGGGATTCAAAATGTTTAATGAATGATACCTAATTTTCAGTGTGTGTCTGAAACTCTGTAGAGAGAAGGATTGGAGCCAAATAATTCATATAGCACTTATAGTTGGAACTTTCCCAACCATAGGTGCTTTTGACTTAGACCTTAAAACCTGGCAACTTTCCACAGTATTTACTTCCACGAGCCTCTTGAAAACGTGTAATGATAATAATAAAAATGCCTCCACATGAATACATTTTATGAATAGTTTGAAGGTCTTGCTTTGCCTTCAAACTTTCTGTTCATCTTGTATCTTGTTCTATTTTATGAGATGTGTACAATTAGAATAAACCTAATTACTTACTTACAAACTATATGTATTATTTATTTTATTAAGGGACTTAGAGATGTACCACACTTTACAACTCAACAACGTGTATGTTATTCATTCACTCAACTCAAGATCCTGGTTGGTAAGCTTGTTTTGAAGCAAGACTGCCCCGGGGCAGACTGACAGAAGTAGGGCTGCCTAACTGCCACAGTGATGCTGCCAGACCCTTTGACCACCGCCAATCATTCAGTCACACAACATTCATAATAGGAAATGGAGGTAAAGGACACAACTACTGTATGCACTTAGGTCTTCCCACTGTGTAATATTCCCATTTTTAACAAGGCCTAGCACTGTTTAGCTTCTGAATTATAGCCACATGCTAACCTTGCGTCTTGCTAACAACGTGTGTTCTATTAACACGTTCAACAGATAAACTAATGGAGCGACTCAGGTCTCACCAGACGCATCGGACTACTTTGGAACCAGCCCCTTGTGGCCATTTTGACAAACTACACGATCTATCACCTGCATTTTCAGACTTCATTTATTGGCCTGCGATGCTTGCCCGACTATAAAATATCTCTAGATTAAACAGAATTCAAGTGCAGGCAGAAACAAAGAGAGTTATGGCATCAGGGGGAAGTGCAAGGGGAGAGATGATGTACGATGGGTTTCACTTTGCATTGAATGGTCTGTGGAGAGATGCAGATTGAAGCTCGTAAGTCGTGTGAGCCGCCCCATAGATAAGAGAGGAAATTACAAGCAGCCCAAATAGAGAGAAGAGAGGCCGGGAATGAAATTGAATAAGGGCCATTATTCAAATAGGGGATTATTAGTTGGCTGAGTGGTCTTTTGCACACTGTGGAAGGCGCACCATTGACCTCAAAGAACCCAGCTTGTTATGAGTGTGTTGGCTTTTGACTGGGATCAAACACACTGTGACGAAAGGGAAGTTTCCAGTTGTATATATATTTTTTTTTTTTATAGAAAGAAAGGTCTTGTTTCTCTTTTGACAAGGTGCAAGTGTTCTTTAGTTATATTGTTAAGCACTTTGGGTTACACTGTATGAATTGCGCTTTATAAATACATTTGATTGATTGATTGATTGATTTTATTATTTGGAGAAACAAGTCTTATGGGATTCTCCTCATAGCAGTTGTCACAATACTGTCTCAATTCATCCATCCATCCATCCATTTTCTACCCTTTAATCCATTTCTGGGTCAGGGGGGTGGCAATCAGAGATGCCACCCAAGTCTCATAGCACCAGCCCCTCACTGACCCTCTGCAGGTGGTGAGTCCACAGGAGGACGGCTGCTCTCTGAGTGTGAGTATAGCCTTGATCTTTCAGTGGGGGCTTTGGGCAAAGTGGGGTTAAGTGTCTTGCCCAAGGACACAACGACAGCAGTCATCAGTGGGAGTCGGTGGAGAAGGTGCAGAGGTGGGAATTGAACCCACGACCTTCTGGGCTTAAGGCCAATGCTCTACCAACTGAGCTACTGTCCCCCCGACTGTCTCAATTCAGATCAATTCAATTCATTTTTGTTTTTGTATCGCCCTAAATCACAACAGTATAGTTATCTCGGAGGACTTTACAGAGCCATCAGTTGGCCAACACAGATCAGAGAATCAACAAACACAGACAATTAAATGATAAAAAACACATATAGAGTCATTGGTCCATAAGGGGAAGATGACCAATGTTCATAAATGTTGATACATATCCATAAATGTTGTTGAATGTCGAGTGTCCTGGTCTGGATCATCACCACTGTCTGCTGAATTTATAATACTTTTAGACCTATAGGGCAATCATACACAGTCACAATTATGATTATTGATGTACTTGAAGGTATAAAGGAGGATTTTCTTCTACCGGGCGGATCATCAAGACTATGGGTCCTACCAATTGTCAATCATTCTGGTGTTGCGTGCTCGTCAAAGAAGACCAGAGAGTGCTGTTCAAAAAGTGGAGAGGGCGGTTCTTTCCTAAAATTTGGAAAAATCCTCCTATACCTTTTAATGCAATAACAAAGGCTTGCCATAGCTCCCTTTGCGAGAAAGGAGGTTGCCATAAACTCAGATTGTGTTTTGAAATACAGAAGTAAATGGACTTTTTCCACAATATTTCTCAAGCTTCATTCGTATGCTAAGGTGTGGCACTAGTTCCCTTGTAATTATCACATGCACTTGTCTATACCACAATCTCCATCTTGACAAACACCCATCTAAATCAGCCGTACTATTACTTTAAGACTCCGTCCACCTCTGGGCAGTATTGAGCCGAGTACATTCTGTCTTAATAAGAGTATATTGGGATAAAGCTCTCCTCCTCTGCCCTGTGTATCGGATCCAGAGGGAGCCAAGGCGCCATCACATCTCTGTCCCCTCTTTTATCTGATGTAATGGATTCGCAACAGCCACAACCTCGAGCGAAGACACAGACGGATCGGCTTTCCAAGTGCAAGACGAGGGTTGAAAAACTGAGTGGGAGTTAAGAAATATTACAGGTGGAGAGAGCGAGAGAGAGAGAGCGAGACAGAGAGAGAGAGAGAAGGGAGGAGGAGAGGAGGGGGCGGCTTATCTGGACATGAGTTACTACGATGAGGCTGGAGTGTGGGGGAGATTGGGTTTTGTGTCCGTCTCATTGTAAGTTTATCTGTGCAAAGAAGTGGGAGCTCTGGAAAAGCCAGTGGCTGAGAGGTTGTGATAGGAAGTCGATGGCAGGTTTGTGTGTGTAATATGTCGTGTTTGTTGCTGTATCTGTCATTGTCGAGATGCCAACTTTTGATAATGTTTGTAATGTTTCATTTTGGTGATGGAGGTAGAGGCAGCAGTAGGTAGCAGCATGTTTTTTTTTGTTTTTTTCTTGTAATCTACAGGAGAATTGCCAAATTTGTGGTAATATATTAAAAAAAAAACTTATTTTGCTTAATCCGTTTCTGGAATCTGTTGAAGACTTAGATACATATTGGGTGCATAGAAAAGTTGCACCCAAAATTGTACAATACATTTGATTATCTGGTTGGACGTGCATTATGTTACTCTACAATTTCCCGTTCCAAATGTAAAGCGGGAAAAGAAGCTAAATAACTTGAGCATGGGGCCACCCTAAAGAAACTCCACATGCATTTTCCCGCTAGAGATGAGAGCAGTGACGTGGCTTTCAGTCAAAATAAATAGAAAATATGCTCTGTTTTTTTAGTACTAGGAATCAGTGCCACATTCCCACAGAGGCAGCAGCCATATCCACATCATTGCAGCCTCTGGCAAAGCCGCACCTCTGCAATCTCTGCCATGTATTCCACATTTGGATATTACTCTGATACCTTTGAATTTAACATACAATCGATGTTTGGTAATTTGTTGACAGCCCTCGCACAGTGATACGTCATAGAAGCAAACTAACATTGAGCAGTGAGTCCATTTTTATAGTAGAGACCTTATACTAGTGTGATACTGTAAGTGGAATACTTCTACCTGTACAGCCATGAAAACTCCCCAGCATCTGACTCAGAGGTTAACTTTGAATATAAATAAACAGCCTGACGATGAAGTTTACCTCCACACAATATATTCCTCTTTTGTGCAGCGTCATCTAAACACTCTTGACCTTGCCGTGCGCACCTCTTCGGGGACTCTACACCGATCCTATAGACCTAACCTCCCAGATGTGTATCGTATGGAAGGTGGCCATAGATAGATATAAGTATATATACGGCTGTAGAAAAAAAAAAAACAGCGTTTAATCTCGCCTTTGTGGTTCGGTGAGCGCGATCCTCCTTGTCTCCTTTTGTGTGATCATTCTTTGGTGGCTCCGGCATCATTATTTATCACAGCTCTCTGCTTTCATCTGCGCTCTTATCGTCAGTGCCAGTGCGGCGTGCCAGAGCCCCAAACCAGGAGCCCTGCCAGCTACATAAACATTTAACTGACAAGGACGGTCAACTGTTTACTGACAAAGCACAAGTCTTTCTGGCACTACCTCCAAGTGGAAGTGTGCGTGCTGCCAGTGATGGAAAGTACTACTACTACTTTGATTTACTTAAAAGTAACTTTGAACCGGGGCCCTTCGCTACTGATGCTGTGTGTGCTGTGGACTGATCCATAGTTCTCTGGAGTGTTAAAGCTGAAACAGAAGGGAGATACAAAAAATATGGCTTATATTTATGTGTATTCAATATGTGGACAAAATGTACTTTATCTTAAAATGTTGATGGTGCTGTTTTTATACAGGTACATTCAATAATCCAGCAAGTGTTGTGATTTTGCCCCATAGCACCATCAGCAGGGGGAAAATGACCAAACATTCTGGACCTTATATGCCACATCACCTAAATTTGAAACAAAAATCTATTTCTTCCACATACAAGCTGCACTGGAATAAAAGCCGCAGGTTTTCATATTGTAAAGTAGCTGATTGATGACTGTTTTAACTGGTCACGACATGATTTAGTGTACTATTACTTCAACTTCATGGAGTCAAAATAACAAGTCCATAAACCCTGACACCCCGGCCACAATAAAATACACATTTTAACTGCATCGGTTCGAAAAACTAGAAAAAAGTTGTTGCTTGTAGTCTGGAAATTATGATACGCCATTTACATGCCAAACATATTTTTTAAACTTTTGTTTTCATATAACGGTATTATTTTTGTATCAGTAAAAGTTGAATTCAAAAGTCTTGTAGATTGAAGAAAAGTTACCCCTCACCTTGTAGGGCCTTGGTCAGGTTTAAGTAATGTAAGTTTTGTGGCACATCCTTCTTCTACAGTATGGCCAGACTGTATATCCGGGAAATGGAAGCAGAGCTGGCAGAGAATGAAAAAGAGCGTTCCTAATGTATGTCCACTTTGGGTCGGAACACCTCCAGGTCTCACTGCAGGGACCCATTTGTCCAGTGCAGTTGTGCTGACTCTGGCCTCGGACTGCTGCATATGTCAGACTATAAAGTGAGGAAAAGACCGTCCCAATGCCAACAACGCTTTCTTATTCCTGTCCAAAAAAACTGTCGCTGACTAAACTTGTGGATGTAATTTGAGGATTTGAAGCAAACCAAACCTCTTCATTTTGTGGCCTACATACATTGTAAACAAGATAGATAGAAGTATATGGTTTTAGCTTGCCATTTTTGCTTCATGAATAATGTTTGAGGACTGGAACAATCTCCCAGCTTTGATCAAATCTATTTCCTCACTTGCGTTTGTTAAAAAACTAGACCCGATTTGCTTGGTATAGCACTAAGATCATTATCAATCAACAATCAAAGTAATATGTGTACCCAAAGTTATTCTGGGAGCGGATAGGGGCAAGGTTTTTTTTGTTTTTGTTTTTACTGAATGAGCATATTGTCTAGTCTGGTCTGTGTCGGTTAGGATTCATGTAAAGGGGCAATGACAAAGGGGCATACATAGTGTGTTGAAACAGAAATGGTCTTATATAGGTAACATAATGCTGTCTCAATTACTATTTCAGTGTCTAGACCTCACATTGTCTGAAAACTGAAGCTGTGACAGAGGCCACAAAATACAAGAGTGACACTGAGAAATTGGATTTATTTCATTGCATTAGTGTATGTAAAGTTGAACAGTTCACATTTATCAACATTACTGTAAAATGTGCAAGTAGGATAAGTTTCCAACTTCAGTCCCCTAGCAAGGTGTGAATGATCTCTTTCTTTCACTTTCTAGAGGTGTTGATCACATGGAAATAAAAAAATTAAAAACAAGCTCAACTCGTGCTATCTGTTGAAATATACTGTATATAGATAGCCTTATACATGGAAGATTACAGAAAAATAAAACAAATAAGTCCCTGTCAGGTTTGTGGAGGTGCAAGCTTGCTCAATTAAGACACATGTATTATTCAAAGTGGAAAAAAAGAACATGTTACTATTTTTTACTCTTTTTTTTTTGGCTAAATCACTACATATTTGGGGATTCAGCTGTTTATATCTGATAGTTTATATTATGCCTGAATTTTAAGGCCTGAAATACAGTATTTGTCACAATTTGGATTACGTTAAACGCGGTCGGAATGGGGCCTTTCTGAGTGGAGTTTGCATGTTCTCCCTGTGACTGCTCCGGTTTCCTCCGGGTGCTCCGGTTTCCCCTACCACGAAAACCATGTACACTAAGTCTGGCGGTGAGAATTCAAATGCCCACAACAATTGTGAAGTGTTTTGTGACTCTGGTCGATAAAAAGGGGCTTATATAAATAAAGATTACTTACTTACTTACCCACTTACTGTAATACTGTGATACTCAAACACTTTCAATCTCTCTCCTGGTTTAATAAAGGTCAATTGATCCCCACACACATTTCCTTCGGCCTTGCATCTCTTTGCTATATACGTGTTTGCGGTTCGTACACCGTGCTTAATGCCTTCGACACGTTGAATCACTTCTGTGCCGTCTATCCAGGGTTAAGAGTTCTGCAGAACCACTTGAGTTTATTCAGTAGACTTAATACATTATTTAGTCTGTTTTGTTCAAAGGGATGTAAGCGCACTGTCGTCTAAACATTATTTACTGTACCACAATGGCGTCAAGCTTCTGTTAAAGTGGAACTAAGTGAGCAAAAAACCACACTCTATTGTAGTGCAAACAGCCTATTACCATTCCAACTCTTCTCATCCATACACACTGCAGTCTACATGTTTTCTAAAGCCAATCTGCTGATACTTTCCAAGGACATTTTGTACTTTTATTGTTTGGAACTGACAGTTTACATAATTTGGCACAATAGTGAGTTTGGTTCTGACGATAAGAAATTGTTTTCGAGAGCAAACTTGCCTTATTTAAGATACAATTTATGGTTATGTGTTTGGAGATGTGTGGGAGAGAATATGTTAGATGTGGTTGTGAATAAAAGGCCTTGTTTTATTGATATATCCACAGCTAAAAAAATGTTGTATATGTGTTTTTTTTCCGTGTTTAGTAGAGAATTTAAGAATGGAGCCTTCTGTTTTAATCCAATTCCTTTTCCCTTATTTTTTCTTTTATGATTCAAACGGTTGCTTTCTATTGCTAATGACAAATTTAATCTCTCAAGCTGAAAGCTGTTGTAATGCTATGGAATTTCCTGGAAATAATTCTGGCAGACAATATGCCGAGACGTTTGTGAGAGCTCTTGATGAGTAAAGACGGATTAAAATACCTTCTTCGTTCCTTTCGTAGAGAAAAATGAAAGTACTTCAGAATCTGGCACGGCTCCTCTGCATTGTACAAGATTTGTAAAGACATGTTTTAGTGTTTCTATGAAATTAACTTTACTCAAAGCTGGTACTTAACTTTATTATGTGTGCCTGAACAGATCGAATCAAATGAAGGTAAAATGTGGTGAACAGAGCACAACATTGCGTTTTCTTTTGCACTGTACTAATACAAAGCTTTGTGAGAGGTGGTTGGTTGGGTACTTCTCTTATTCACTTTTCTGTCTGTTTGAAAAAAGATGTGATGGAGGTCAAACAAAAAGTCAACAATTGATGGAACCAAACTGTTTTGAAAGCAGGAAACTTGCAAGATGGATGGTATACATACAGTTGTTCCATTTTATTCCATCTTGAATACAGTACTCTCGTTTTAATATTAAAAACAAATTCAAAAACACTAGACAAAGTGGTCAAAAATAAGTCAAATATTGCCCAAATTTAGTAAAATGGATCTTAATTTGAGCATATTTTGACTTCCTTTAAATAAAAATTGCCAATGGGACATGCAAAATGATCTTGTTTTAGAAAGATACAAGAAATGTCTCCCTTGGAATGAAAAAATAATGCAACAGTTCTTGAAATAAGACTAAATGGCTTAGTCCCATTGGAGAATCGTGTTTTAAGACGAAACCCACTAGTTTTTTAGGCAATTGCTTTCTCATATGTTTTCATTTTCTGCAGTGAAGCTGGGCACACACGCCTCATCTCTTAAAAGTGAATTGAAAAAAAAAAGGTACAACAACAGCTCTCAACATTGCAACATATTAACCAGATTTTGTTTGCACACCTGCTGTAAACCAACACAGGCTGACCTTTTGCTTGGCCCCACATTGACCAGGCCTGGAGTCCCGTTCCCTCTTGTTTTGTCGCCTGTTTAACGCCTCGTAAGCAGAGCAGGTGGTCTCCATAGATGTGATGGCACCGGTCGCCCCCATGACGAGAGCGTGGGCATGGGGCAGGTTCACCAACGCCAACATCTGCTCTCACGCTAATACCCTTCACACCTGCATCGAAAGAAGAAAAATCTCATTTGGATCAACCATCTGCTGAATTATTACCTCTCCGATTGAGTTGAAAAGCATTTGTCTTCAAAGGACTCTCAAACCTTCTTGTGAACTTAATCGTAACCAGGAAAGACATAGAAGGAGCAATAAACCAGGAGTCCATTGTGTTCAACATGGATATATATCCTACTATACCCTGAGGGCGCCAGAACACTGCTCCACAAGCCTTTTTTCTCTCTCTTTTTCAAAGCAATATCTTCCTGACCGACCTCCGGCTCCTTTCTGTGAAGATCAGTGATTTTAGTAATACACCAAAGAGTCCATTGAACCTCGCAAATGCCTTCTGGGTAAGACTGTGGCCAATTGAAATCATTTGTTTGGACCGAACGGATACAAGACCCAAGCAATAACAACAAACGAAACTCAAAACATGACATAAGTGCTTTGTATACCCAACTAGCAATAAAGACCTGTTGGATGTCAATCAATTTAATAATGCTCATAACATAAATTTAAATTTTGATTGTTATAAAATTGGCAATAACAATTAATTAGTGGTCTTGGCTAGTAGAAGTTAATACACATACTGAGAGATTCTAAGATTCTAAGTTATCTGGTTTTGTTTCTGTCCGGACGGTTTCAATTCACTTTTTGGAAACCATCTAAAATCGCAACAATACAGGATTTTCTCGCTCCATGATCAGTGGGGTACCTGGTTTTCTATATTAACCTTTACATTTGTGACATACATTTATGTAGGGAGTGGGGCAATAAGGCCGTTCCCCTGCATAAAACTCTCAGAGTATTCTTTTCATTCTGACTTTAAATCCTCAATGTTGGATATCGTTACCAACACAGAATGCATGGCTCGGACTACATCCATCTCCGTCCCTTTGTTGATTGCTAAACTACAAACAGACATCAAGAGACTAGATTTTAACCTTTTTTAAGATGCTTGCACACTACCTGTCTCTTTGAACACCCCGATCTCTACTTTGCGAGATCAGTAAAGCTTATCTTATCTAATCTTATTATTGCTTCACCAATTGACCGATTGAACTTCCTGGTTCTCGGTGTAGTGTGTGTTTCTGTAATACCCAGAGTGATATTAATCAGGAACCAGTTGGAACCAAGGGCGACAGTAGCTCAGTTGGGAGAGCATTAGCCTTAAGGCCTGAAGGTTGTGTGTTCGAGCCCACTGTAAGACCTACTTCACGACTTCCACTGATGTCTGCTGTTGTTGTGTCCTTGGGCAAGACACTTAACCCCACTTTGCCTGAAGCCCCAGCTGAAAGATTTCAGCTCCTGTGGACTCACCACCTGCAGGAGGATCAGTGAGTGGCTGGTGCTCTCTGTAATGGGTGGCACCTCTGGCCACCCCCCTCACCCAGAAATGGATTAAGGGGTAGACAATGGATGGATGGACAGTTGGAACTAGTCTGGTGACTCAAAAGATGCCCCTTTTTAAGAAATAGATACAGTAACAATCTCCATTTCCAAATTGTTTTTAGATGAATGAAGTGTGGATTGACACCTGTTGCAAAGTTGAGGTCTGAACGCTTCATTTGAAAGACATCCAGCGAGTCGTCTGAGAACATATCATCCCGACACACAACTCTTTGCAATTTCAGTCGTTCAGCTATCCCATTAAAAAACCCAGACACAAACTTTGTGAGCAAAACAATGTACTTTTCTCAATGCTTCATGTTATTTTTTCTCAACTAAGGAAAAGTCTGCTTTGTTCAAATCCAACATTGGCGCAGTGGTTTTGGTTGGACTCGCTTCCAATTACTCGCAGTGGTTTGGGGTGCTAATTGAGAAGGGTGCTGATGTGTAAAGTAAACAGACAAGTCGATGCCTTTTGCCTGGAGCTGCTCAGCCTATTTACTAGCTGGCCAATGCCACACCAGGCCGTCCAATTCCATGGATTTAGACCTTATTGGCAAATGCTAACTCCGTCCGCCGGAATAACTGTTTTGAACGCTGCAATTCTCGTTAACCTCTGGTCTAATTTCACCTCAGGGTCACACAAACAAATACTTGGACTTGGTTTTCTCAAGCGATTGGTGTGGTTACTAAGCATTTGATTTTTTTTTTTAACAAGCTTGCTTCTCTGCCCATCCATAATCTCTCTCCAAATGTGAGCTTTTATCTTAAAGCTGTGGTTCAACATGTTTTAATAATATAATTTTGCTTGTCCCAACAGAACCAATCAGGCCTCGACATGTAAGATGGATCCCTATGAGACACTTTTATGTCCCATTTGGGTGACAAAGGACCTCTCTTTTTAATTTTTCTGTCTAAAATTCAAATGTACAGATGTGTCATAGTTACAAAAAAACCATACATGTAAAAATTTGAGATTGAACCAAACCGTATTTAGATTTTTTACGAAAGCTCTTCTGGTCTTCTTTGTTTATCAAGTTTTTTTGGTTCTTCTATATCAGACAATTGTAACATGTCAAGACGCAAACTTACATCTTCCTCAGCAGCATCTCTCAACGTCGCAACTGTTTCGAGATCAAGAAACTGGGATTTAGTTTAGTTTAAAGCTTGTAGACTTTTTTTTAAACTATTGGAACAAAACTAAAGATTACACAATTATCTGCTGTTCTTCCACTCTATTATCTTCTTAGATTTTATTCCTTGGACCATATGACTTTTCTAATCTACTGTTGGTAAATCGACAATTCGTGACGGCCTTCGAGATAACTGCTGTTTCGGATTTTGGGCTAATCACAAATAAACGTCATCATAATTCCTCATAAATCTTACAAAAAAAATCACCTCCATAGGGTTTTTAACTCTATCACAGCTTCAATGATTGAAGCTAAAGTTTGAGTGAGTTGAAGAGATTTGTCATAGTGGAACTTTTCTTAATATAAACTTTCTAAGACTGGGTTAAATTAGAGCTGTTATTTTTTTTTTCTTTCTTGCGGCTGGTTTGTCACGTCCACATAGAGGTGCTAGAAACGGTGACAGTGTGGGCAGTAATGAGGCTCTGGTCCAATCAGCTCCTCAGGACACCTCTCATCCCTCTCATCTCTCTCATCTCTGCTGTTCACGGGAAGGTCAGAGATACCTGATTGAGGCTCTCCTGCTGAGAACAGGCCAGGGAGTGCGCACAATAGAAGATGTGACAAATGCATGACGAGACGAGCGGCATCAGGCAGGAACGAAATCTGAAATCAGCCGAGAGAGAGGGCGATATGGAAGCAGCAGGCGAGATATTATCAATCAATCAATCAATCAAAGTTTATTTGTAGAGCGCCTTTCATACACATGGCAACACAAAGCGCTTCACAGTCCACATCACAAATCATCACATAAAACAAACACCAGAATCACAATTAAAACATTAAAATCACACAAAAGATTAAAACACAATTAAAACATTAAAATCACACAAAAGAATAAAACCATTAAAACTTTCAAAATTACACAAGAAATTTAAAAAAATAAATAAATGACAGCAGTGCATTAAAAATGGAGATAAAATCCTTCAGTTGTATGCACAGGCAAACAGAACAGTCTTTAACCTGGATTTGAACATTGACAGAGTAGACGCCTCCCTCACATTTTCAGGGAGATTGTTCCAGATCTTAGCTGCATGGATCTGAAACGCAGCCTCCCCATGTTTGGTTCTCACTCTGGGCACCAGCAGGAGGCCAGTCCCTGTGCTCCTCAGAGTCCGGGCCGGTTCATATGACACCAACATGTCACTAATGTATTCTGGTGCAAGGCCATGGAGAGACTTGTACACAAGCAGAGCCGTTTTTAAAATCTATTCTTTGAGCCACAGGAAGCCAGTGCAGAGACCTGAGGACCGGACTAATATGGTCATACTTCCTGGTTCCTGTCAGGACTCTAGCTGCTGCATTTTGGATGTACTGCAGCTGCTTACAGGTCTGTTTGGACAGACCTGTAAGCAGGCCATTGCAGTAGTCTAGCCTGCTGGAGACAAATGCATGGACAAGAATCTCCAAGTCTGCCCTGGACACTATATTTCTAACTTTGGCAATGTTCTTCAGATGGTAAAAAGCTGTTGATGTTATTGATTTTATGTGGCTATTGAAATTTAGGTCTGAGTCCAGTATTACCCCCAAATTTCTGACCTTGTCTGAAGGAAGTAGGGAGAGAGACTGAAGTTGACAAATGACGCCCTCTCTTTGTTTCTGGGGACCAAAGACAATGATTTCGGTTTTGTCTGTATTTAGCTGGAGGAAATTATTTTGCATCCAGTCACTGATCTGTTGGATACAGTGAAGGAGCAAATCCAGTGGTCCATGTTCTCCTGCAGTCAGTGAGACATAGATCTGAGTGTCGTCAGCGTAATTGTGGTAGGACACTTTGTTTCTTTGTATTAACTGACCTAACGGCAGCATGTAGAGATTAAATAGGAGAGGTCCCAGGATCGACCCCTGTGGTACACCACAGGTCAGGGCCACATCATCTGAGACGCAGTCTCCAATCTCCACAGAGTACTTCCTATCCTCCAGGTAAGACCTAAACCAGTCTAGGGCTGTGCCAGTGACACCAGCCCAGTCCTCCAGTCTCTGCATGAGGATCTCATGGTCGACAGTGTCGAACGCGGCACTAAGATCTAACATGACCAAAACTGTGACTTTACCTGCATCAGTGTGAAGTCGAATGTCGTTTGTTACCTTCACTAGAGCGGTCTCAGTGCTGTGGTGGGGTCTAAACCCAGACTGGAACATATCAAAAGAATTATTCATTGTTAAAAATTCAGTAAGTTGTTGGGAGGCCACTTTTTCAAGAATTTTTCCAATAAATGGCAGATTCGATATGGGGCGATAATTTTGAAGTCCCGCAGGATCCAGACTGCTCTTTTTTAGGAGAGGTCTTATGACTGCTGTTTTTAGGGCCATAGGAAATGTTCCTGACGACAGAGACATGTTTACTATTTGTGTCAGTGAAGGTAACAAACTGCTCAGGACGGACTTCAGAAATTT